GCACCAGAACCCCGCTCGCTTTCTACCTTCCTCCTCTCCTATTCACTTCTGCCGTCCACCTGTCTGCCCCACGACGCCCATCCTCTGCTGTCAAAAAACATGAGCAAAGCTGATGCTTGGGAAACTCAACACCAAGGACAGAGCAGAAAATTTGCCTACAACTGGAAATTCTGGAATGTCAGCTGGAGCACTCGGAAGGACTCCTGCCCATTGATTGTGCGCTGGAGCACCAGAAAAAAACTGAACCCGACCCGGATTGAACGGATGACCTTATGGATGCCCAAATCCTGCTTACGTAAGCACGGCTGGCTGGAATCATACGCGCTACCACTGCGCCACGGGTTCATATTGAGAGCGCCCTTTGAGAACATTATAGTAATCCCGCTCCTGATTATACCCCTTGACCATGCCCCTGCGGGGCCTAGTCAAGGGGTATAACCAGTCGCTCCTTCTTTGCGTACCTCAAGGTGGCTCAGTATTTCTGGGATAGTATTTCCGGGTGGCCGACCCGACTGTTTGCCCCGGGCCCGGGGCCTACCAAGTGCTTTGCTCTTTCCGGTCGTCCGAAATACGGCCGTCGCAGTATTCAAATTGCTTCCAGCCCTGCGAGGCGGCGCGATCACGCAAGCATCTGAAGCAGGAAGCACTTTGGCGCAGTAAAAGCGTGTAGTGTCACTGCGCGGTGGGTCCGATATTTACTCCCCAACGATAGAGCTAAGCATCTATACTTGGTTTGGCCCCTATTGCCCACGTGACCACTCGCGACTCGTGTATACCATCATCCATGCACGCGCTCAACTTGAAGCTTTTTTTGTTGCTCCTCAAAGCGTAGCCTAGTATCCCCACCCTCTCCTCAGCACTAGAACCTACATTCGAGTTGCCAATCGATCTAAATCTATCCCAAATCCTTCTGAATCTCAGTAAGGTCACCCCAATAACCCCACAAACTAGCCAGCACTGGTGATATGCAACTCCCGTCGGGAGATAAGGTAGAACCGAAGGTCGAGCACGGCGAGGGAGAGGTGGGTAGACGTTATCACAAGCTATTTTGGTTACATTGGCTCATTCTATACAGATGAAGAGCACGCAGGAGAACGGCACTGGTGACTGGGAGGATGTCTCAGAGTCAGATGCCGAGCCTGAAGGAGTGGCACAAGAGCAGCCTTCCACCAGCGCGAGCGGTTCACAGATCTCGAACTCAGGCTCCCTACAGAAGAAACGCCGGGTACAAACCAAGAAGACTCCCGTCGCGGCACCCGCCCCACCTCGAAGCCAATCCACCAAACCAAAGCGCCAAAAGACCCCCATAGCAAACAAAGAAGAACTCCAGGAAGCGCTTACAGACGGTGCCCTGTATACTGTGTCGTACTTCTTCGACGTCTTCAAAGCCTCAGTCGAGACAATGCGAAAACCGCTCTCTTGGTTTCTCGCGCTGTATATGTTCGCATGGATGATGTCTCGCATGGCTGGCACCTTGCGAACGGCATTTTCCCCCCTATGCATCTTGCCAGGAGTATCCAGGAGCGCGTTATGCGTTCCAGCTCTTCCCCCGCTCACGGTCAACTTTCCTAAACTTGTAGGTCTGCAGGAATCCTCCTTTGATCAACTCATCGGGGAGTCGATCGGAGGCTCCGAACTTTCTCTCGAAGTCCTGAAGGCGGAGATGGCGACCAAAGACTTGTCATTGCTGGTCCGGTTTAGTGATCTTAAGTCGAGGGACACCCTCGCAGACCTTCTCCATACCTTTGCCATGGATGCCAGGAAGGCTGGGCGAGGGTTGTCGAAACTGAACGCGAGAGTTGCAGGTGCTGTCGACGAGTAAGCTATAGTATTGTTTTTCGTTGCCATATCTGTTAATTGTTCGTGCAGCGTGATGGCCGTGAACAATTATGCGATGACTACCATCGAGGGTGCACACGAGAAAGCGCCCTCACCATTTCTTCAAGCCATTTCCCCTATCAAATTGGGACCCACGGAGGACGAAATTATTGCTGGTGCATTTGTCCTCGCCATGGATGCTTCGGAGCAAACCATAGCGAAGCTCGTAATCGAAGCAGAAATATCTCGCCAGAACCTCGATCAAATGGAGGTGGACGTGACGTCGTTGCACGAGATAATTACTCGTGAGGACAAATTCACGACCGCCGAGAAGGATGAGCTACTCGGCGAACTTTGGTCGAAGCTGGGGGGTAACAAGAAAGCCCTGCGGGAGTATGGTGACCGCCAGGCTTTGCTCAACGACCTTGGGGATTACAGGAAGAAAGCCCTAGCACACGTGACGGCTGCATTGCAGGCCCTGCATTCGATGAGCGACGACCTGGAAGTCCTACGGGACAGAGTCGCCGCTCCGGCCCTCCTTGATGGGAAGTTACCTCTCAGTGTTCACATTGAGAGCATCAAGAACGGGCTGGAGAGGTTGAAAGAAGGTCGAACCCGAGCCAGAGAGATAGGCAGTCCAGGCGAAATGGCGAGGAGGTTATTGGCTCCCGGCTCCGAATGAATTATGATTGCGATTGACGGTTGAGTTAGGAAGAGAACCTTGGAAAAGATACATCCTCTGTTTGGCTATCTCTCACATCCTTATCTTTAGACAATGTAGCGGAAATAGGCGTTTCTGTCAACATCCGGAAGACGCCATTGGCGCTTGACCAAGTTTAGACACGTTTGGACGCGGGGTGCATATGCACCTTCGATGATTTCACTCGCTATCAAATGAAGTGTCGCATGTGTTCCAAGGATTTGCGTTACATGTGTCAAGCGGAGTGAACGAGGGAAGCTCGTTCGAATCCCCTGCTTGGGAAAACGGAGGCAAACGACTGAGGGTCCGACATGATAAGGAAGGTAGTTCTGAATCCCCGCACTTGAAAGTTGAAACAAACCAAGCGACTGTGATCGATCACTGAATGATCGAAAACCGTAGGCGTAAGTTGAGCGGAAGGCTGCGGAAGGTCACAACGTCGTTCCAACCGCAATCGACATGGAAGACCGAGTTTTGCAGAAACCTAGACCACAGTTCGCTGCAATATCGCAACATGTCACAGGGGACTCTGGGAATGTTCGGAAGGAAGAGGTAGCCTTACGAACCATGCCCACTCCACAACCCGAGTCACCAAACGTCCGAAAATGTTAGACTGTACGCCACATTCGAACCAAGATAGACTGAGCACACGCAATACACTAACTTATCAAACACAACGCCATGAACGTTAACGACGCGTCTACCCGGCTGACGCGGTAGAAGCGCCAAGACTGATCGAGCGGCTGGTTGAGTACATGACAGCCCGAGCCAACCAGAACGTATGTCAGCATTCGTTGACATGATTCTTCCAGAGGGCTGGAGGACCAGCAAATCTATCCCCAACACCCCAGCGCACCTCGTCCTTGCCCTGATACGTACCCAATGTGAAAAGTATTATTGTTTGTAAATTTATCATGCCCTTAACCTTGAGAATGGATGAGAAGAAGGCGAAGTTCGTGGGCCAGTTTGTGTCGGTTCGCGTTCTGGTCTTATTGTGTTCCTAGATATAACGGGCACCACGTGCGCTTCGGTAATCACAATTGCAGCTCTTGGACTATGACCACGCAAGAAATATGCCCACCACTGACACAACACTGCCCGTCTCTTTCTCCCCTTTACCTTTTCGTATACCCGTCTATACTTGCATCCTCTCTCCAGGCTCAGATTCGTCTTGCTTACTCGTCTTTCTGTGTGGATACCTGCACTCCCCGGTAAGTGCATAGCCACATGCCCGGAACCTACATGCCTGCATGTGCTCATGGACCCCGGCTTAGGAACATATCAGGGACACCTCAGTTCAGAGTTGAAATCTGAGGCTTTTTGCTTTCTTATTCTGTGACTCCCAGTCAGCGAGTGACTGCTATCATCTCCTCACTTTGTCTCTACCCCTCTTGAGCACCCCGAGGCATCATATCAGAGTGTATCAACGGTATGTATAATATATCTCACCCACTAGATTACTTATCAGATGCTCACTATATCCCTAGTGAGTCCGCCTCGAGGCACCGCTGAGCGAGTTATTTGACTGTTCGGTGTCATGGAATTTCCCGTACGCAGTTACTCTGCACTCTAGCCTTCGTCTATCTAACTGTTGGTGGTTGCTCTAGACTGGCGCAGGAGCGACTGGCGGACCTATCTCTCCAGATGTAAGTGCTCGCACGATGTTCGTGTATGTGAGCTTCTGCTCATAGGTGAATTCACTCAGGCCTGGAAACGAGCCGTGTACAGAAGCGCACCGCGCAACTTCTATGTTGAGCTGCTCTCTCCAGAGAAACAAGGTTTGTGTGTCTCCGGTTTAACCGGTATTGCTATAATTACATAACTTTTAGGGGGCAGCCACAGCTACGGCCTCCGCGTATGCCCAATCAAAGGCGACGATGTTTCAATTGCCTCTCGCTCGACGTCGTCGGGCGGCTCAGCTAATTCTCTCATCGAGTACGATATTTGGAGAAAGTGGGAAGACTGTCTATGGTTCCAGGAGACTCTCGAGGTCGAGTATTCTCGCATGGCGAGGGAGAAGCGAAATCGCCTTGCTGCCGGTAAAGGTGTCAAGAAAAACGGAGTTTACATTCACAGCGACCAGGCTGCCTCCTTCGAATCTCTACCTCCTGGTCCCGATCCCCACTCCGTCGCCCGGGATATTCACGATGTTGTGCCAAAGTTGACGAAGAAAGGCACTCTCTTCCGTGCTAGTCAGGCCACGATCGACCAGCGTTTCGCTGAGTTTCAGGCCATGATCGACGCTCTTTTTCGAGACGACGTCCCAATGCTCATTAAAGAGCTCAGGGCAACTCGTACATTCACCGACTTCTTCGGCTTCTGGAGAAGAGATCACGACCTGGCGAAGAAAACGCAAAAGGAGGTCACAACTCCAGTTAAACCCCGAAGCTCGGTCTCAAGCAGCTTGTTTTCCGCATATTTCTCAGCTTCAACTCCTGCACTCTCGGAGCTATCGGTGCCTCCTTCCTCAGTATCCAAACAGCCTGTGCAAAGGCAGCTCCCTCGCCGTGCTTCCGCCCACTCAGATTCGTCGTCGTCGTCGAGTTCGATTGGCCCATCGAGAACCAGCAAGTCATTGAATTACGGACAATCGACGGACAACATGCGCCCCATGAGGTTGCGAGCAGGGTCTTCAAGAGGGTCTCCCACGTCGCCCTCCCTGCCTTCAACGCCCGTTATTGCCTCTCGCCAGCTCCCAGCCGCAGCTCGACAACCTGACATCGTATCCCAAGAATCGCCACTCAGATTCGGACACAACCCAGACGTGCTGGGCAATGAGCGACCAACATCCATGTTGGAATCTCTACCGGAAGATCGTGAGTTCTCC